AATTGGGCTTAAAAGATTTTACAATTTTTATTTGAAATCTTTTCAGAAACTACTAAAGATATGAAATCACATATTAAGGTGCCTAAAAGAATGCAATAAAGATAACGTTTTCAATTTACTTGCATAATTTTAACACCGTTGCAAATTTTTTGTTCTTAGACCAAATAAATAATAGGAGTTAATATGAATGCTCTTCTCTCTGTGTAGCAGCAGTGGCACTAACAGTCGACAGTCAGTGGCAGTTACCAGTAGGCGAAAAGGGGGTGGGTTGGTGCGCCCTGCGAAAGGGGGCATAAAATTCATTGTTATGGTTACTGGGCATAAGTCAGTCAGCCGGGGAAGAGTCTTTTGGCCCTCATTTCGTTAATCAGCCCTGAGTAAGTCAGTCCAGCGCACATGATACTTATTACACATGCTACTTGCTACTTACTACTTACTTCTTACACCCATGCCACACATGGGCGTCGAACGAAAGGAGGTTGGGGCAATTCATCCATTCATCCACTTGGGCTGAATTCCATTATAACCCAAGGGTGCACTCGGCCAGATTGGGTTGGTCAAAGGATTTTCGACTCCTTGAGGCGGGGGATCGGCGAACAGTGCGTGCCGAGGGTGGTGTTAGTCGAATATTCGGGGATCTCCAGCAGAGGCTAAGAATTTAATTTGAAATCACCCCCCGGAAATAGGGTACTCCACAGTAAGACAATGGAGAAAAGCACAGACCACTGACTTCAAAACAATATTCATGTTAATTAAAATGTGCTGCTTTAACTGCGAAATATGATTAGTAATAAGGCAATATATTGAATATAAAGTGTAAAGGTGTTTGAAAATCTCAACAATGGACTGTCTATAGAATCAAGAGCACAGTCCTAACTGCATGGGGCGCACTGTAGCTTTCCCCACCGCGGAAAATCCCCTCCCTTTGGCCTGTTTCAGTTTTATGTGTGCGCGCATTTCCCATTTTCTTGGCTCGTTTCGATTTCGTTACGTAGACACTTTCGCTTTATGGTTTTCTTTACTTTTACTTTTGATTTACGCCTTCCAAAGATCATCGCTCCGTCTCTCTCCACAGCTCACTCCCCATCTCGCTCTCTCTCTCTGCCCCACTCTCTCTGTCTCTTTCTCTCTCTCTCTGTTGCCCTCTCTGTCGTTGATATGAGATGTGTTTTTTTGTATAGTGTGTGTTTGAACCCGAGTCCAAGCCCTGAAAAGTGCAAAAAAAAAAAATCTATGAGAAAAACACCCAAAAATCCAAAAGTAAACGCCTCACCTAAAGATTGACCTCTTCTAATTTAAATGTAAAAAACTCTACCAATTTGGACCCAACATCCCACCAGAACTCACGCCAACCAAACCAAAAAAATATATTTATACTGTGCCAATTGTGATGAACGTAATGCAAAAATCTGCCTCTGCCTCTCACCAAAATCACCAAAACCACAGAACTACAACAGCAAATATACAATGCGTCATGCAAAATCTTAATGCCAAACAAAACGTTAAGCAATTTCCTAAAAGACAGCAAAAACAGCTAAAAGTGAAACACGCCAAAAGCACAGGACACGAACAAACACCAAGTCACGATCACGATCACGAGTTCACCAAAGTCACGAATCACCAAAAGTCACCAAAGTCACGAATCAGCATCAAATTAGCAAATGCCGAGATAAGCTCACACACGCCAGCACACTATGAAAGCTAAAAATCCTGATTTAAATCCCCTCCTGATTCTATTCTGGAAATCTCTGGCTGCTTCAAATCTCCCCTTTGTTTGCCCAAAAGTAGGCAGTTGACAATCCGACTTTGTAGATATTCATTGTAGTTCTGATTAAAATATTGTTAAACTTAATTGTACTTTTTTTTTAGTTTTAGAGTACTTTTCATGAATTGTATTTACTGAAATGCCACATAAATCACTAGCGAATTCAAAATATATTGGTGCCTACTTTTAGGTGATTTTAGAACACTAGTAATTTCTAAGTCAAACTTGAAAAATAAAATAGATAAAGTACTCTTTTTTCATGTTTAGGTTTTTTTTAAATATTAAATTAAATAAGGTAGTCTACTTTTGAACAAATAAGGCATTGTCTCCGGAGATTTCTGGGATTCCTGAAAACTAAATTAGTTTCCCATCTCACGCTCTGTCTCCGTCTCACGAATCACGCCGCTCTGTCTCTCTCTGTCACGTTAACTCACAATCACTCTGTCTCTATCCGAAAGCCCGAAACCCTATCTCTGTCTCTCTCTCTACCCTCTTTGTAATGGCCAATTAAATCGCCGTCGGTTGCAAAAACTAAAGACCGCCATATTTCTTTCTCTGTATCTGTATCTGCATAAGTACACTAAAATTAAAACGAAGTCAATTAAATGCCGACAATTAAAGCAAAATAAATTGAACTAAAATAAACCTATATAAACCTACTCACTATCTATCTCTCTTGATCACTCAATCACGGATTCACTTACTCACCAAATACAAACTCTGTCTCTCTCTCTCACGCAATCTCACGACCCCACTCACAAACAAAATATGCAAAATGCAAAAAAAGACTTAAATGCAAATGAAAAGCAAGCGTTACCAAAACAAAACCAAAACCAAACCAAATAAAGCAACTTAAAGATAATAAACCACACTCTATATTTATATACATGTATGTATCTCTGACAGCTTTAAGTATCGTATGTCGTATATATATATAACAAGAAAGTAAACCGAAACCAGGAAAGAAATAAGCCGCAACCAACAAAAAACTCCAAACTCCAAACTACAAACTACCAACTCGAAACCAAAAACTCCAAACTACAAGATACAATTCCAGACTCCACAGCAACAATAACCAGTTAAACAACAACAACAGAGATCCAACAGAAACAAAACAAACTACCATACCATATTTATATCTTTATATAACTAATAGCTAGCTGTATGCTCTCAGTCCCAGATGTAATTGACATTGCGATTTTGTGTTTCAAAATTAACCAGAACGAAGTATACCCAAGAACCTAATACTTGTTGTAACTAAATCAAAATTGTAAAGCTAAAAAAAAGATTGAAATGGTAGAGCTAAAAAAAATTAAAACCACCTGATCGTACGGCCAGGCCCCATATAAAATGTGACGTCTATCTGGGCTATTAAATATACTAAAGCGAATATAAAATCTGAACATACTTAAGCCTAGAACCCAGCTTTGCCGCGCTACCTGTCTCTCTCTTTGCCACACACACTATCTCTCTCACTCTCTCAGTTAATATATACGCCTATATATAATATATGTATCTCTCTCGCTCTCTATGTCTGTTTGTCTCACTCTAACTTGTGTATTGTGTTTGATTTTACCTAAAAACTAGATTAAACGTAAACCGATTTTCAACCATATTATATAAGCAGTTCTCGTACATTTTCGCCACATTCAATTAAATTAAATTCAACTCAATTCAATTTCAAACTCACCTAGATTTTTCACCACGTATACCTAATTCAATTAACATTCAACTACTTATATATTCAATTTGTTTCTATATTGTACTCACTCTCACTCGATCTCACTATATCTCTGTTTCGCTCGCTCTCGCGTTCTCAGTTTCACCACTCTACCACACCACCACCACCAAAGACACCACTAAACCACCCAACCACCCAGATCACAGATCACAACTCACCACCAAGTGGCACCACTGATCACTGATCACTTATCACTGATCACTGCAGTATTCAGTATTCACCTCTTAAAGTATGTCTCTCACCACAGCTCAGCTCACGAAACTCACCTCGCTAAAGCCGCCACAAACGAACCACCACTCCAAATTTGAATTCAACTGAAACCACTGAACTTAAACCACTCACTTAACCACTCAGCCAACCAATCTGCATTCTAAATCGATTCTAAATCAAATCAATTCTGAACCAAGCCATTATCGAAATTTCACAGGTCTCTCTCCTTTTAAACTCTGTGTTTTTCCTTTTGATTTCTCAGCCATAACTAGTCAGCCAGTCAGTCAGTCAGTCAAGCGATTACATTTTGATAAATATCGATTAAGTGGTCATCGTTAAAATCTATCAATCAGTCGAAAAAATTCCCATTCGATACCGAAATCTGCAGGGTACTTTGATTGGTTTTAGCTAAAAATTCTACATGGCGGCCAAAAACTGGTCATGTTTTCCTACTCTGAAAATAATCCTCATTTCTACCGATCTGTAATTTATATATCAGCCTTAAATGCAAAGAAAAAACCGAAAATTTGCATTCCCAGCAGTTCAATCACTTTTCGTTTCTCTCACACCTCTCTCTCTTTCTATCTCTTACTCATACACATAAAACTTAGTTTTTCTTTCTTGAGTTTTGATTTGATACCAGAAAAGAAAGGAATGTTTAAGCTAGCTGAGGAAGTCGAAACAATTGCTGTGACACCTTACTATACTTACCTGCCATAAGAAAAACAAAAGCCAAGCCGAAATGAATTCGAGAATTCTTCCAAAAGCAAATTGTATTTATTTCGCATTAATCTTAAAACTTTCCACTTCGCCCGCAACTTGAACGACATATGTGTAAAAAGAATTTATATCTGTAGAAAACATATTACTTCAGATTGCAGGCGGATGGGAAGCCCCCTATATTTATCGATAAGTGAGTTAGCTAATTGTAAGGACCCCTGAAAGCGGAAAAGAAATTGCTTATGAATGTACATAACCAGATATATAACCCCATATGATAAAGCACCCGAGAGCAGTCCTCTCGATTTCATTCAGAACAGACATATAGCAAAAGTTTTGCGTTCAAGAGACTTCTCTCATCATCCGTTTTCGTTTAACTTTTTTGGGTTACCTTTTTGTTTGGACTTATGTAACTTAAAAATCTGCCAAGACATCCAATAATAATGCTCTCTCTCTTCATCCCCACCGAAAAACACCAAAAAACAACCAACAAACCAACCACCCAACAAATTACACACAAAACACGGTTACCTCCAATAACGCATCGATAACAACCGACAACAGGTGTCTCATGTCAAAATCGATTCACCTGTTTTTCGCCTGCACACCAACGCAACGGTTATATTACTGATCACATTCTCGATTGCTGTGACGACGCGGCAGTACGTAGGAAATCCCATAGACTGTGTACATACAAGGTGAGCGATATTTTCGATTATTTCTGATTGTTTAGATATATACCGATTAACGCGATTCCTTCGATTGCAGAGACATTCCCGAAGATGTTCTCAACACATATTGTTGGATACACTCAACGTATACAGTGGTCGATGCGTTTATGAAAAAGCAAGGTTCCGAGGTGCCTTTTCCCGGAGTTCACAATTCACAGGGCCGCGGGCCTCTAACAATAAAGCACACAAAATATTATCAATGGGTAGCGTTTACACTATTTTTTCAGGTAAGTACTAGTACATAGTATTTTCAAAGATCGTATCCCTTTCTTAAAAATGATTAAGGCCGAAAGCTTTAGCTTTTGGTAACAGAACTGTCTAAAAGCGAATGAAAGCTCTGCCTGGGTGGGAAAACTTGGTGGAAAAACTTGGGAAAAATTGGTAGCTTTGGGCTTTTCGGAAAATTTGTGAAAATGCTTTAAGCTTAGAAGCAATCAAAAAGCTTGAAAAGTTATCCTTGTGAGGCGCTGTCTTTCGAAACTCGACTTGTTTTACATTTCTTATTACCAAAATTTATGTATGTGACTATGCTATGAGAATATACACTTGTCAAGTTAGCAAATGCAAATTACTTAAAACAGCTTAAAAATAACGTTTTTTCGTCCAAAAAATGACGGTCCTTATTTTTGGCGCAAAACAAAATCAGTATTTTGGTTAACTACTTGTGAAATGAGGTCAGAATACCGAATGTGATACCTCGTTGAGCTCGTAATTAAATTCCCAATCGATTGGCATTTAAATCTTCAAACTTTAATTTTTGAAAAATTTTCGAAAAAAATAGATGATACAACCCCTTACAAAAAATGCGAAAATGGGTCAAAAAATAAATTTCCCGATTTGTGATATGGATCGATAGCCTTGGTTGTTAGCTGCTCAGAACAGTCGGTCTTTTTGTTGTGCGCCCCGATTTGACTAAATTACGTCATAAAAACGGCCTGAAATTAACGAATTTTTCGTCAAAAAATAAGGTTCCCTATTTTTGCGCAAAAAAAATCAGTATTTTGGTCGACAAATTGCGAAAAGAAGTCAGATTAAGGAATGTGATACCTCGTTGAGCTCGTAATTAAATTCCCAATCGATTGACATTAAAATCTTCAAACTTTAATTTTTGAAAAATTTTCGAAAAAAATAGATGATACAACCCCTTACAAAAAATGCGAAAATGGGTCAAAAAATAAATTTCCCGATTTGTGATATGGATCGATAGCCTTGGTTGTTAGCTGCTCAGAACAGTCGGTCTTTTTGCTGTGCACCCCGATTTGACTAAATTACGACATAAAAACGGCCTAAAAATAACGAGTTTTTCGTCAAAAAATAAGGTTCCCTTTTTTTGCACAAAAAAATCAGTATTTTGGTCGTCAAAGTGCGAAATGAAGTCGCACTCGTTGAGCTCGTAATTAAATTCCCAATCGATTGGCACTTAAATCTTCAAACTTTAATTTTTGAAAAATTTTCGAAAAAAAAGATGATACAACCCCTTACAAAAAATGCGAAAATGGGTCAAAAAATAAATTTCCGGATCGGTGATATGGATCGATACCCTTGTTAGCTGCTCATAGCAATCGGTCTTTTTGTTTTGCACCCTGAGTTGAGTAAATTACGACTTGAAAAATAATCTTAGGACCTTGTTTTAAAGTTAAAAGTGTTTTTAAAAAATAAACACAGGGAAAACCGGAAACAAATGGTATGCATTTTAATAAATTTTAAAAAATATGATGTGATTTACGATTGGTTATACCATGTTGATAAATTAAGGAACTTCTCAGGGTGGCTCGGGCCCTAATCCCAGTCTCTAAAATAGTATTGGTCCCTAATTTTGTTCTGACGCATGAGACAAACGAAGTAAGCCGTCTAGCCGATCCCTGGGGAAAATTATTATATCTCTGGAAATAATTGTAACCGCACCAACACCAAAAACAGCCACCAGCCACCAGCCACTGGCAACGGCAACAATGACCTTTCGCACTTTTCGAGGCGTTGTCTCTTTTGTTTGGCCGCAAAACCGTAGAATCGAGTATATGATGCATTAATGCGGCACAGACGCTGCAGTTGCAGTTGCTCCACGTTGCATGTTGCTGCGGGGCAGCGATGTTGCTGCTGCCTCTGCTGCACCGGAAAAAGATGCAAGAACTATTTTGGGACGCCTCGCTTTCTCCAGTTTTTCCAGCTCTGTGCGCTCTGTTATTATATTTTGTCTGCGCTATTTTTGTTAAGAACGGGGGAGAAAAAACACACAGAATACAATCGCTTGACCCCGTTTAAACCCAAACCGATGGGCGGGGACTCTGCTTTTTCCCCAATTTTCAATTTCCCGAACTCTTTCCAATTCGGGAGACGCGAGCGTCTTTTATCAATTTTATGCGCAGTGTGCTTGATATTTCCATTAATTTTATTTATTTACGCCACCGTCCCGCTGAGCGACCGAGTGCTGAAAAAATTATAATTTATGTGGCGAGTGTGGTGCCCCTCCGCCTCCCCCGCCCTCTTTTCACCACCTGCCGCCCCCGGGGAAATCCCAAACGAAAAAAAGAATAACAAGCGGCATATACAAGAGCTCGTTAAACCGTTTTTGATACCAATCTTACAAATCATATTTCTTTCGGATCGCAACAAGAACTGACGCAACCATTTGACATTCCTCATAAAATCCGCGTGTGCGGTTCCCTGTCGATCATAAAATCATACAGATAAAGCTAAAGATCGGGGAGGTGCCGAAAGGGGTCCAACAAATCATCGAGCAGTCCATCAAAGTGTTTGTTTCGGAAACGAGAAACTACATGAAAGTGGCCGGGGAAACGACTCCCCAGATATTCATCAGCCCAATAACCACAAGTTTTATGGGATCACTATTCCTTTGTATCTAATTCGGTTCTCGAAAGGAACATCTTAATTCGCTTGATTTTATTGTATTTTTTGTCTTGAAAGAAATATGTGTCTTCTCCAGCAAAGAGAACTGAATTAAAAAATTAACATAAAGTGAAGTCCTGTTGAAACGCGTTAGATGATATATTAAGGGGCCGATTTCTCAATGTCTTATTAACTTTTATCGTTAAGTTAAGTTCTTGTTTGAAGAGTTGTCTTTCTTGAAGTAGATATAACATTGAGAAAACGATTTTGTCTTTTCCAAACCAATCCAAGCTTTCTCTGGCAGATAACAAACTTCAACTTGACATGACATTGAGGAATCGGTCCTTTAAGGGTTATAGCTATGTTTTCTACACATTTTAGTAAGCCCCGAATTCTGCGATAACCTCCAACAAACAGAGACACCTTTCTCAAGTCCAAGAGATATAATTAACATGTTTCTTTTTTCGGGGCCCTCCTCCCTTTCATTTTAATGCATCATTTGGCGCTGGGCCCAATGGCGGAGAATCGGAAAAGTACTCATGCATTTGCCATCCGGGTAATGTTTTTCGGGTGCATTAATGAGGCAAGGCAAGGCTCTTTCCGGACATTGTCTACGCCGCTTCAATGTCTGCCAGAATCCCCGGAAAACCAGGGCCAGCAAAAACATCGCCTAATGGCCGAATTATGCAGAGGGATCCGCCATTGTCTCAAGACGGGAACATTTCTGGGGACTGAGTATGCTAGGCGACTCACGTAGTGCCTCAAACCAATTGAATTTTGATGGCCAGCCTCCAGTTTCCATTCCCAATTTTGAGGCACTTCCTCTGGCCAACTCACACCCATTTTTGTGGCGACTGCGGCAGCTGCCGAGATACAAATACAGAACGAGATTCAGATACAAATACAGCCACTATAGGAGCAAATTTAAATTCCTTCCTTTGCTAGTGGATCTGAAAAATGAATACCAAATGATTTTTTTTAAACTTTAGTTTGAGAGTCATATTTAAATATTATGCAAATATTTTCTGATAAAAATTGTATAGTTACAAAAAATTATTTTTCGAAGCCTTAATATATAATACATAATAAGTACATTCATTCAATAACCATGCATTTTATTTTGACGTCGAACCTCTTTAATCAGGGATCATCATATGCTGTTTTTCAAAAACTTAGAGAGCACAATGTGTCCTATTATTTTGGCCAGCGGTGTGCCAAGGCAGCTGGTCGCCCTGGGACAACTTAATCAAATCGGCCAGCGGATATGTCAGACAGTTTTTATGCTCACCACTCCAGCTGTGCTCGGCCTCATAAAACTCCAATTGATATGCCCCGCATGATGTCTAGGCGCAGGAATCAAAATACGCATAAATCCCGGCTCCGGCTCCTCGCCACGTCACATGTCCTGATACAGGACAAAGGGCTCCGGCCGCCTGATTGCAGCAATAATGAGCGGAAATCACAACAATGCAGAGCGCAAACCCTTCACTCGTACACCGCGAGAAAATCGCCATAGTCAAATGCATTTAAAATATGTCCAAGTCAAGGAAGTATGGGAGTATATCTTTTCATACAAATAGGAAACAAATTTTTTAGTTTAAGAACTAATGAATGGAATATATTTGTATGCTTCCGGAAAAGACCTTGATAAATCAATTTCAAAATATGTTAAAACAAAGAAATGGTAATAATGTAAAAAAAAATACATTAAGTTAATAAAAACATTAATTCATGAGCCACGATCTACATATGAAGTACTGGGAAATCTTCTACTTACAAAAACCAAGTTAAAGAGAAGTAACTATCTTTTTCGCAGTGCATTTTTTGCAAGCCCCTTGCCGCAAAGTGTTTGCAGCGTAAAGTCTGACTCCTTGTGATGTCGCTTCAAATCATTGGATATCGGGTCTTCGTAGGGTTGTCGCTGTCGTTTTCGTTGTCACTCGCATTCTGATTTCTCCTTTCTCCAGACTCCTTTCTCCGTTTTCCGTTCTCAGCCCCCTTTCTCCTCGTTGTCGCTTTCGTTGTCATTCGCGAGCGTGCGAGAAATAAATACGAGTATGTAAATAGTTTGTTCAAATACACAGTGGTTCGAAATTTGCAGTTAAAGGTTAAATAATTTTTGTGTGAACTATGATAATTTGTTAGAAATAGTATTTTAAGTACAAATATTTTAATTATGTTTTAGTGCGGGAAATGTTCTTTATGATCATCTACCTATAATAAAATATTTAATAACATACTTAATAAAAATTAAAATTAATTACTGTGACATCAAATAATTTATGTGCTTTAACTAAGTCGGTCAAAATGTGTTCCAAGATCACAAATTTGTTTAGCCAAAATTGTTCTAAAGAAGTAAAAATGATATCCATATCCTAAG